TCCTCCTCCTGGTCGGCTTGACTCTGTCAACTGGCACGGGACTCGGTGAACGTGGAGTCCCTTCTTCTGCAGTTCCGTCCTCACTCTCCTCCTCTACCTCTTGGGCTGCTAGGGCCTCGTACCTGTTCTTCAGCTGGACTGGAGGAACTGGTGGTGCCACGTTTCGGGCAGCCCTGGCACGGGTAGTGACCATCTGCCACTCAGCAGTGGAGGGCTCTTCTTGAGGCTCATCCTCCTTGGTCGCACAACCCTGTAGGGAAAGAAAAAATCTGTCAATTTCCTCCTCTGCTTCTCTGATTCCCCTCAGCCTGCTAGCCTCCTCCTGGAGCTCCCTCACCTGCGCCTCCAGGGCCCTAAGGTGGGCGCCTGCAGGACAGGTGTGGGGGTCCCCAGTCCCTGCCCCCCCAGGCCTTGCTGGGCAGCTCCCACAGGCCAGGGGGTTGGGGGACGCCAGCCCCCCCTCGGGCTCCGTCTGGGTGGAGGCCTCAGACAAGCCCCGGGAAGGCCGCGCCCCCCTGGCAGGGGCCGTGGCAGCACTCCTGGTCGACACCATCGCTGGAGTTGTTGAGTATCTAGCTGAGTTCAGGTCCTCTGCCCTGCGCTAGTAGGAGTCAGCCTCTGGGCCCCTCCTGCTCACCCTCCGGCTCGAACGCCGGCGCAAACGCCGGTGCACTCTAACAGACCGCGCCTGTTTGCGCACTCTGTTCGCGCGGCTCCCTAGCGGCTCAGCAAAGAGGGATCCAGGGGGCTTCCCCTCCGGATCTGGCTCAGCTGTGCCGGTCTCTCCGCCCCACTTACCTTGTGGGGATCAGCTGCTGCTGCCCCCACTGCTGCTCTGTTTACCTCCGCTGCTCTTGCCTCTGCGTCACTCTGCTCCGGGTCTGGTAAGGGGGGCACACATGTGTACAAAACACATGTGCGCCTGTGTCCTCCTTCTCCCCACTGCTCCTAGCTCCCAAGTGCCGGAAGCTGCGTCAAACTGCAGCTTTTATAGGCCGCGGTTTGAATTACCCGCCGCGGTTCTATCCACCAATCAGGCCTACCAGACCCACCGGAAGCGCCTGCTGGCGGTCCTGCCCCCCTGCGCTCCCCCGCTGCGAAATAGAAGCTTGAAAGCAGAAATGTAATCAGGGAAAAATTGGTATTATTTATATATGGAGTAGAAGAATAGAAAATCAAGATCCTCATGCATGTAGTGCAACAGGATTTGCATGCTGCTGTTTAATACGTGATGGATGGAGAAGACAATAGACATTATTGTGTTCTTCTGAACTCTGCTTCAGTTGGAGTAAGTACTAAAGCACTTCTGGCCTGGTCTTGATGTCTACATATTTTCAATACTCTTATTTGATGGCTTTGTACTATATGGGCTTTGTATTAGGCAGCAAGAAATCTTTGTGTTCCAGCTGGCCGTGTGAAAATGGAACCAGTAGCAAATGAATAACAACATTTAGTATAAATAATAAATTGTGGGTACTTATTGCCAGGATAGGTAAGAAGGAGTTCTTGTTCTCTTTGGAAAAAGACCAGTCTGTAAGCCAAATTGTCTTCTAACACACACTTTTAGGGCCACCTTATATGTGAGCTGCTCAAATGTTAGGGCCTTCTTATATGTGAGCTGCTCTAATGTTGATCAGTGTTAGTGCTAGCTTGAGTTTGGAGCAGTCACATATTCCGACCAGCAGAGGCTTGGAGGACTGAAAGGTAAGAATCTCCTCCTATTCCAGGTTTCCTCATCTGCCCACAGGGCTGCCCCAGTTCTGCCCCCCCACCCCTGCCCCTTGGGGTCCCCTCTGACTTCCCTTACTCCCAGAACTCTCCTGCCCCTCGCTTACTTGTGGCTGCCTGCACAGTCTGCCCTAGGAAGGCAGGCATGGAAAGGTTAATCGCCCCACCTAGTCCCTGCTGCCGCTGCTGCTGTTCTCTGGATTGAGCCTGGCCCAGAGAGAGCAGTGGTGGGGCTGGCCAGGCAGGAAAATTAACCCTTCCCTGCCTGCTGTCCTGCGACAGACAGTGAAGGCAGCTACTAGTAAATGGAGGGGCAGTGAGTGGGGGTCTGGGGTGCTGGGGAGGGTAGAGGGGGAGGCAGTGGGCCTGTTCCAGGCTAGTGTGGGGGGTGGGGGCAGCTAGGATGTTTATACTAAGATGTAGACTAGAGTGGCTACACTTTAGTGTAACATGAGCTGGGTAATATAGATCAGAGACAATCCTGCCCTGGAGTAGCGTAACTTTGACCTGCCTAACAAGTGCTTAAAACTAGTTTTGGGTATTAATGAGTGAATAATCCAGCTGTTAAGAGCTCTAGGAGCTGCCCAAAATTACTGTGTAACAAGGCCCTTACAGATCCTGTAACAAAATCAAACTGCTATTACAAATTCCATCTGTGCAGAGGAGAGGGATCTATGAGTTATGGAAAGGAGTCTCTCTGAAGGGTCATGTACCAATCTGCAGTTTGGGGTTGTAAGTAAAATGTATTAGTGGATCTCAGCCCATTCCTTTCATGTCTTTGGTCCCTATTATACAACCAGCTTTAGTTTAATAGGATTGGCATTTATCTTCTGCTCTGGAGGGACACAGGTCAGAAATACAAAGGGATGTTTCAGATCATGATTGAAGTGGATTCTGCATAAGAAACTTGCACAGCCTGTATATTGTCAGTATGTTATTAGAAAATTCACACTCTCCCCACCCTATCTTGTCCTCCCACCCCCTCCTTCTACATAAATATGGGTTTAATTTACCTTTCTGTGGTATCACACATTCTGGATATTACCAAGGGACTCTAGCTTAAATTCTATAAAATGCTTCATTAAAAAATAATATTAAAACCAGCAAGGGGTTGACAAATTGTCGGGTATAAAAATGCAAGTTGTTAATGCATTTTGTGGTTTTAGCAAGCCCTGAAGCCAAGCAAGTAACCCAGATCCTCCAAACTGTGCACACATTCTGGCCTGCTAATAATTAACATTTTTTGTTTGGTTCCTTCTGAGTCCATTCCAGCTATCTGACCTTCAATGACTTGCTATTTAAAATGTAAGGGCTGTGATGCTGCCTTCCTACCCACAATTTCTTCTCTCTCCATGATGTGTTTTTACTTGGTTTCTCATTCCCCGTTCTCTTCTTCTGTTGCTAAATTGGCTTTTAGGAAGAAAATGAAGGATCATTTGTCCTCTTGCAGAAGTCAGAATGCAGGGGTTGCTGCTGGGAGTACATCAAAGCACTGCAGTTAATCACCTTCTGTGACATGCTGCTTAATAAAAGCACAGCTCTGTGGGTCTTTATTATGTGCCTAAATCTTAGTACTTGCCACCATTCTGGACGTGTCTACACGAGATGCTAACTGCACAGTAGTCTAATAACATTGCGCAGTAGCATGCTGGGCAAAAACTATGCTACTATGCAGTAGTATTAGGCTACTGCATAGTAAGTGTCACTGAAAAAACATACATTGGTGCTACTGAGCAGTAGCGCAAGTTACTGTGTGTTAATTTAGTACTTGATTATCCAAGTACAAAACTTAATGCATAGTAACTATGGTGCATTAATGAATGTGTAGACACCCCCTCTGTGTCTTGCCTGATTCTGCTTAGAGACTGCAAGCTGTTGAGGATTATAATATGAGGAGGGAAAATGTTGAGTGGTTCATCAGATATCAAGAGTTAAATACATATCTGGCATATAGCATGTGACCAGATATTGGCACTTGAAAATAATTTTATCCTTTTTTTCCCCCTAAACCTGTTAGCAAATTCTTGGTGCTATTTTCTGCTTTAAAGATAAGCAATTTTGGTTTAAAATAGGTATTGACTAGGTAACGTTTTAACAGAATTTTCAAAATAGGAATGAGGAATGCTGATTACACTGCAGGATTTTATTTAGTCAGCACAGTAAAATGAAGTATTTGGGGCCTTTTCCTACCATGTGGAGTTAATCTTTAAGCATTTGGTACAAATGTAACTTTGGTGGCTAATGAAACAGAACATATCATGAGTGCTGATGTCCAAATGGTTATGGCACTAAACTTTTTCTTACTGGCAAGGTACTTAATTGAAGCACGGAGATTATAGCCAATTACAGAGGGGTAAAAAATCTCATATAATTTATACTTATTAGCCTGAAATATGGGTCTGACAGGAATAGGTTCATAGAGAGGTCTCAGATACACCCCTCCCAGCAGTCAGTGATGAGGATTTGGGGCTACTCTTTGGTATGAGGGCCTGCTTAGTTTTAAAAACCCAGAAGGGAAAGGGAAGGACACTTTCCTAAAATAGAACAGCAAAGTAATACATTTTTTCTGTTAAGAAAATACTCAAAATTAAAAAAAAAATTGACAGTTAAAAATATAAAAGTAAATAGTATTTCATGGTTATGTGGGCTACTGTTTGTTATTAGCTGATTACATTACATTTTTCTTTCCTTGTTTTTTATAGTTATTTTTCAAAAGCTGTAATTGTTAGAGGTAAGAGTCCCATCAAAAATAAGTCACTTTTTTTAAAAAATCCTGTTCTGACTTATTGATCAACATTGGGCATGTCAGACTACCTACTGGGGCTCTGCTTAGCACACTGAAAGATATTTCATGGAGAAAAACCTCCCTCAAATTCCTTACCAGGGCACTCATTGTTATGGCCATATGGGATCAATAAAATATGACTGCCATAATAACTTTATTTTAAGGTCAAACACCAAAGAAAGTTTCAAGCATTTGGGTAGTTTTCAAAATGTTAATGTAGCCATATTGTTCAAATGTACTTCTTGGTCTCTCCCCTAAACTCCTTTGAAAATTACTTGCAAAGTGAATGTTTTAAGTTCATTTTTCAAGTTTAGAGTTCCAGTGACTACATTTTGGACATTTCAATGTTAACATTGCATTAATGCTACTTGTTGCACTCAAGAACAATAACTAGTTATAGCCCCAGACTAATGTAAAAATAACTTTCAATTTGATAAGCATTTGGACATAAGGAATAAATAGGCATAAATACAAAACTAGATGGGATATTTAAAAACCTATTAGTACGTCTTCCAAAGAAGGTAATGCAAGAAAAAAAATTGAAGCAGTAATTTAATAATTATTTGCTCAAAATGAAAACAGATTTACCGATATAAAAAAGACCTGCATTCTTTCCACTGTTTAAGAGTAAATGTATTCATCCATCTCCTCCCCAAACACCCTATTTCATACAGTTTTTTAATGCTTTCTGTGAACACTATCATACTGCTGTGTGCATAGCAATGCAGACAGGGAGGCATGTGTTACAGTATGTATGTATGTAAATTTGTCATCAACTTCTGGAAAAAGGATTTAGTTCCAGGTTTAGTATGTGAGTGCAGAAAACCTGCATCAATTTGACTCAAATGCTGCTGCTTTAATTAGCTGTATTTGCAACATGAAATTCCTTTGCAGCTATCTGAACAGTCAGATTTATATCAACAAATATGTCATGTATTTTAATGATGGAACCTGCTAAATTAGAGTTAACTGCTAGCGTCTTCTATTTTCTGTTGAAGCTAGATGTCTTTGTTCAGAGTGTGTTATCGTTTTCGAGGTACAGAATCTAGCTATCAGAGGGTTGTCTTAAATTTGTCCTGCACCCCCATTGTTACAGCAGAGAAAGCAGTGTGGGTGGGGTGGGCGGGGGGGGGGTCAGGCTGCCCCCTTGCCCTCTACCCCCTACTTCTTTCCCCTGCAGCCTTCCTGCACCCCTGCCCCCCGCACCTTCTCCCCACCACCAGCTCCCCACAGCCTCTGCCCTTTTCCCCCCACTTCTGCCCCCAGTCTCTTCCTCTTCCCTCCCCCCAGTCTCTGCCCTTTCCTGCACCACACTGCCCCAAGTCTCTGCCTCTTCCTCTCTCCCATCTTACTGTCAGATGCTTTTCAGAGTCTGTTCCCTTCAGGACCACAGCCCCTGCCAGTCATACAACAGTGGCAATGATGCTGTTTGGTCAGGCAGAGGACAGAGTTTCCCTGTGCTTCATGTCCAGGAGGGAATCTAGCCTGGGTTGGAGCTGAGCTGTGCTTGATGGTAAGGTGGGGCGAAGGGAATGGTGGGAGGCAGAAGGTGCTGTGGCTCTGATTCTAGTCCTGACCTGGGCACAGGGCCAGAATCAGAGCCACAGCAGCTGCTTGCCAGCCCCACCCCCTTTTAGTCAAATCTAAGACAAGGGGCTCCCAACCATGCTAACATGGGGAGGAGGACCTTGTCTTAGATTTGAGTAAATTTGGTAAATTGGCTGGTATACTAGAAGAAGGTAGGGTAGATTTAGAAGTAGTGATTCTCCACCAAGCTGCCATGGCACCCTTCCTTTCCATAGTTTATGTTTTTATGACAAGGTATTTAGAAGAATTTGCAGATTTTCCTTTGGATTCTGAAAGGCTGCACCATGAATGCTTCTGCTATGGTCTCAAACTTGCAACCAGTGCCCATGCTACTCCAGCCCCCCACACCCCTCTGGGGTGCCCTGAGAACCTTTCAAGAGTGCTGCAAGGTGCCACACAATGTTAACGCTGTTAGGTTTACAAACATGATTAACAAGGTAAACTCCAAGATTTCAAATAGAAATCCACAGTTATCTTTCTGAGTTCCTTTCAACAGAAAAAACTGCTCTATTATTTTTCTGTAGGCAAAAGGGTGAAAACTAAGAGCTGGCATTTTCTGTGGGGTACTTCAAGTCTATTATCCAGGGGTGCCTTGAGTCTAAAAGGTTGAGAGCTATTCTTATAGACTAACCCAAGTAGATATATATTGCATAAGCTTTTGTGAGCTGAAGTTAGCGCTCTCTCTCACTCTCTGTCCCTCTGTGTGTGTGTATCACATGCCTTTGTAAGCTGAAGCACCATGGCACCCTGGTTGAGGATCACTGGTCTATACCCTGCCTTCTACCTGACTTTAAACTAACATAGCTAACTATGCGTCTCTGAGATACTAGAAGCCCAGCTACAGGATTGCAGTGCCTGTTAAAATAACATTCTCTGAGTAAATCAATGCTACGTCCCATGAAAAGTGTTATAGTCTTGGATGTATTGATTTTCTCTTTAAGCTTAGGAGATTTCAGATTTAACCTTGAAGCTGATGTTTTTATGTAGACTGCCTATATAATTAGATGTAAAATGGCTTTCAAAATATGATTGTGAAAATTAAGGGGAAGACAGGTGAGAAAACTCGATGACTATCTAAATGCCTCGAATATTCTTGACTTTGCCATTCTGAGTGCAGAACTGGGCATGAAACATAAATCACACTAGTAAAGGATTTGCTGTTATACAATTAAATCTTATCTTCCCTTCCGCTTAACATGTACTTAGGGCTGCAAGGAGGTATGAATTCCAGTGTTTCAGGATGCTGACAACTTCTGACTCTTCATCTCAGTCTCTCCTGATGTGCACAGTGCTATTGAAAACCCAGTCTAGTGTTTAAACAATATTGAGGCATGCATGAGAGCTAGCACAGATAAGAATTGTGGTGATGTTAGTAGGTTGGGAAAAGAAGGTCATCTACTATTTATTGAGAGTATATTTCCACGCTTTGTGATTCATTTTTGGGACTGTGCCAGAACTCAGCATGGAAACTTAACTAATACAGAAGGTAGTAGCCTGCTTAGTAAGTGTTGTTTTTAGTAGCTGGAGACAAAGGTGCTCTCAGAATTATACTGACTCTTGATTCATTTTCAGTTATAATTAAAGATGCTGAATTTGACCTGTAAAGTCCTAATAGATTGGGATCCTTCTACACAAGTGACAGCCTCTCCTCCTGCCATACCTCTCCGATGCAGTCTCTGGAGATGCTGTATGTAGTATCTTAGGCTAGTGATAGAGCATTTGCCAGGAAGGTCTCCTCATTTTGGGATCAATCAGAGAAAGGGCTTAGGATTTTTACATACCCGAGGCCAACTTTTGTGGGTGGGCTTTTGTGAAATCTATATAGAATGGAGGGGTCTGTTGGGGAGAGGGTTCCCCCCTCTCTTTTGGACTGGGATTCATTTTTGTTTAGGGTTAGCTACTCACTTGCAGTTGAACTGTTGTTCTGAATTTTTTTTAATCTCTCTAAGGCAGATACAGGCAATAATTTCAGCTGGAGGGCCGTTTAATGAGGTTTGATGAACTTTGGAGGACCACCTGGGTACCCCCCCCCCCTGACAGTTGCCCTGTCACTGGAAGTCCCACCCCTGCCCCCTGATGTTTGCCACTAGAAGTCCCTCCCCTTGCTCCCTAGAAATACTCCTTTTGGGAGCGGGGACTTTGCCATCTTAGAACCAGTAAAAAACCAAATCATACACTAAAAGTCAAACACCTTGCGGGAGAAGAGGAAAAGAGGGATGGCCAGCATCCCGAACTTACCGCAGCACAGGCAACCCCCCAAGTCAGTGTGCAGGAGACACTGTGGTGCTTCCAGAGCAGTGTGAGGCATCGGATTGGCAGGAAGAACGCCGAATAGATTCATAGATCGTTAGGGGCTGGAAGGGACCTCACAAGATCATCGGGTCTAGCCCCCCCTGCAGTAGGCAGGAAAGACAGTTGGGGTCAGGAGACCTCAGAGAGGTGACCATCCAGTCTCCTCTTGAAGATTTCCAGGGTAGGTGATTGCAGCACCTCTGGAGGGAGCTTATTCCACAGTCTGGACACTCTCCTCATGTTGAGCCTGAAATGGTCTTCCAGGAGTCCGTGGCCATTACTCCTGGTTTTCCCCAAGGGTGCCCTGGTGAACAGTTGTTCGCTGAGCCCTTGATGTATTCCCTGGATATAGTGGTAAGCTGCTACCAAGTCCCCTTTCAGCCTTCTCTTTTTTAGGCTGAAGAGACCCAAGCCCCTCAGCCTTTCCTTGTATGGCTTGCCTTGAAAGTCTCTGATCATAAAGAAACTTTCTCTGGACCCTCTCAAGTTTTCCCACGTCCTTGTTGAAGTGTGGGACCCAGAACTGGATGCACTACTTCAGCTGCAGTCTCACCAGTGCTGAGTGAAGTGGAAGAATCACTTCCTTGGTTTTGCTTGAGATGCATCAGTTGATGCATGCTTGAGTATTGTTTTCCCTGGTGGCTCCAGCAGCGCACTGATGGCTCACATTCATACTATGGTCTTTTATTATCCCTAGGTTCCTTTCAGTCATGGTACTAGTCAGTTTGGTGCCACAAGCCTGTAAGTATGTTGGGGATTGTTCGCCCCCAATGGATCCAGCACTTTATACTTCTCAATGTAGAACTTCATCTGGTTCCAATCCGCCCAAGTTGCCAGCCTGTCTGGGTCTGCCTGTATCTGCAGCCTATTTTCAAGTGTGACCACGCTCTCCCATAACTTGGTGTCATCTGCAAACTTGGCCAATGAGCTCTTCACCCGCACATCCAAATCATTAATAAAGATGTTGAAAAGCACTGGACCAAGCACGGACCCCGGTGAGACACCCCTGACCACTTCTTGCCAGGATGACACAGATCCATTCATTAGACCTCTTTTGAGTCCTACCCTGCAGCCAGCTTCCTACCCACCTAACTTTCTAGCAGTTAAGCCTGCAATCCTTCAGTTTTCCCATGAGAACATCATAGGATATTTGATCAAAGGCCTTTTGGAAGTCTAGGTATACAATGTTGACTTCCTCTCTCTTATCCAGGTGGGGAGTTACCTGGTCGTAGAAGGAGATTGGTAAGACAAGACCTGCCCACAATGAAGCCGAATGATGGCTGTGATTCAGAATCCTACCTTCTGAAAGCCTATCGCACATAGACTCCTTGATGAATTTTTCCAGGATCTCCCCTGGGATAGAAGTTAGGCAAATTGGCCTATAGTTGCCTGGGTCCTCTCTCCTCCCCTTCTTGAAGTTGAGTACAACATTGGCCCTCTTCCAGTCTTCAGGGACCTCCCCCAGGCACCACAAGTTTTGAAAGAATTTCACCAGAGATCTCATGATGACTTTGGCCAGCTTCTTCAGCACTCTTGAATGAAGTTCATCCGGTCTTGCTGACTTATGTCTGACTTTTGTAACTGATCACAGACCAGCTCAACTTCAACACTAGGAAAGTGGTCATTCTCACCATGCCCATTCTGACTCTTATCTAGTATGATTTTCCCCTTAGTCCAGTGAAATACCAAAGCAAAGTAGTTACTCAGGAGTTCAGTTTTCTCCTGAGTGTCAGTAACCAGCTGCCGTGAGTTGTTAAGCAATGGCCCCATGCTTCCATTTGTTTTCCTCCTGTTCCCTACATACCTAAAGAAGGACTTCTTATATTGTCCCTGATTTCTGTTGCTAATTTAAATTCGTTGCTGCCTTAGCCTTTCTAATCTGCTCCCTACAAGTTATTATAGTTCTCTTTGGGGACTGTCCCAAGCTTCACTATTTGTATGCCTCTTTCTTCTTTTTCAAGAGGACCATGATATCCCTATTAAGCCAAGATGGCTTTCCAGCCCTTCTGCTACCTTTCCTCTGCATGGCAATGGACTTCTTTTGTGCTTCAAGGATTGTGTCCTTGAGGAATGACCACACTTCACGCACTCCTTTCACCTTTGGTTCTTGGTCCTGCAGCGCTTCACCCGACTATTGCCTGGAGCCTGTTGAAATTCGCTTTTTTGAAGTCCAAAACGTCAACCCTGCTAGCTAATTTTCCTGCCTTGTGATGGACAGCAAACGTGATGGTTTCATGGTTGCTGTCACCCAGGCTACCCTCTGTATTCAAGTTGCTCACCAGATCATCTCCTTTGGCCAAGACCAGGTCTAGGAGAGCTTTACCTCTGGTTGACCCATGCAATTCCTGAGTCAGGTAGAGCTCTTTGATACAGGTCAGAAAGCAACATGACCGATCCAACTTAGCTGAGTGCTCCTCCCAAGAGATGTCTGGGTAATTAAAGTCACCCATGACAACCATGTCCCTTTCACATGCGGCCTCTGCCAGCTCTCAAGAGAACTCCAGATCGAACTTCTCCCCCTGGTTTGGTGGTCTGTAGTATACACCTACAGTTAGGTTTCTCTCACTCCCCTCACCCCCCCCCCCCCCCCCCCCCACTCCATAGTTTGACCCAGAGGGTTTTGAGCTGCTTTTCTTTGGAGCTGATGTCAGATTCCAAGGATGTGTACTGCTTCCTCACATAGAGAGCTACACCTCAAACTTTCTTCCCTACTCAGTCCCTTCTGTGCAGGGTGTAGTCCTCTATGGCTATGTTCCAATCAT